ACACTCCGCCAGAGATCACTTCTGAGTTACTGTACTCTCCGATCGTCACGCTAAGTGCAGCGAACGGGTTGATCAGGGAGCTCGCATTCGGCTTCGGCCCCATTGCCAAAGACTGCTGAGTCGCGACTCCTTGCGTCCTTCCGGTCTCTTCGCCGATCACGAGCGCGTGCAGCATATCACACCCGGACCCCTTCTTGCAGGCGCCGTTCTTCCGGAAGAAAGGGCAGAGGACTTCCTTCTTACTCTTTCCATCATACTTGCCCTTGGAACCGCTCTTCCCTTTAGAATCTCCTTTTCCTTTTCCGGTTCCCTTACTTTTCCCTTTCTGGTCCCCTTTGCCCTTTCCTTCGCCCTTAGCCGCGAGAACTGATCCGCTCTCCGCGTGCTGCTTCTTCTCCGCCAGCGCCTTTTTCCGAAGCTCCTTGTCGTGGGAGTAGTGGCACTTGTCTCCCCACGGACAGGTTCCATGATCCCTGTAGTGGAAACACAGCTTCTTGCCGTTCGTGCCTTCCGTGGCCGCCAAAACCTGCTGCTTCGGCGCCTTTGGCTCCTTCGGTTTCTTTGGCTCCTTCTTCGGAGGTTGCTGTTGCCTCTCCGTCTCCGTGGAGTAGACAGCATTCGCAGTCGCCCGATGAGTGGCTTCTCGCTGCTCGACCTCCAGAACCACTCGATGAGCCTCCTCCCATGTCTGAGGTCCTCTCAGCTGGGTCTCACCAGCCCACAACCTCTTGTCACTCCGGATCTCTTTCTGCAGGTGCGCAGGCATCTTGCGAAGATACGACAGGTACAGCTCCCTCTTACTCTTACCCAGGCCAACTGTCTCCAGCTCCGTGACGCTCGCCTCAAAAAGCGGTTCGAACTGGTGCCCTGTCATCTTCCCTTTCGCCAAAGCTACGTGCTCTGCGTCAACTCGTATCTCCCTTTCCTCCGGGCTCTCCGAGAACATGAGATGCTTCGCCTTGATCCGCTTGTACACCTTTTCCGGGTCCTTCTCTATCTCGCCGGCTCGGTAGGCCGACTTATAGAGGTTCGTGAACGTCTTGAGGCGGGACCCCCTGCACCGAGATCTCAGCGCAAGCAGCATCTCCCGATAGTTCATGCCCTTGCAGGAGTTCGCGAGACCACAGTTGTCCTCGAAATGGTCGTAGAACTCGGACACGTCCTTAGAGTCGCTCCTTTCATCCCCAAGCGTGGGCCATTGCAAGTCTGTTTTTACCGACATAACTTGCGATTGATTACGGCCCTCCAGCGCCTTCATCAAGGCCGCTGTTTGATGCTCCAGCGCGTTCGCGAGCTCTTTCTCAGGAGAGGACGCCTCTGAGGCCGCCCTGTCCTTGTCCTTGTCCTTCTTCAGGGACTCCAGCTCCATCTGCATTGCCACCATCTTGGATCTCAAGGCTACAACGCCTTCGTCTCCATCGGTGGGTTCACGGCTCCGCTTCGAACCTCTATTCCGGTCATCATGGAGCTCGTCGGATGGAGTAGAGAACACTTTGTCAGGAGCCGTACTCACTCGGCCTCCCAAGTCCTGGATCAACTCCGCGATCGCGACCGTCGTGAGTCCTTTCTCCTCTGGCTCCTTCGTGTCATCGTTGGCCAGCATGATGAACTGTTCCCTCAAGTGACCAACCATGGTCCTAGGGTCAAAGTCACCCAGAGCTTCGTATCCTTCTTGTATCAACTCTGCCTTCATGATGACTGACCGCAGGTCAGCCGGTCCCACTTCTTGTCCCAGCACTTCTAACGCATGGGAGATCCGTTCGGCCCGCGCCCGATAGGCCGCGAGGCTCTCATACCTCGGATCATGAAGTGCGAACAGCTTCCTTTGCATCTCCGACATGGAGACACCGGTGTATCCCGAAGAGGGAGCCGGGCTAGCTCTTCCACCTTCATCTCTGATAGCCGGCCGGGCTTGCTCACCCGGGGCCTCGCCCGCAAACCCCACTGGTCGCGGCGACGGCCGAGTCCCAACGTCAGGCTCTGCTGGCCCCATAAGAGCTGGGATCGGCCTCAGCCTTGGTCTGGCTTCCGGCTCTTCTTCTTCATCTTGTTCTTCTTCTTCTTCAAGGTCCTCAATTCGGTCTTCCCCATATAGCTCCGCCGTCACGGCTCTCCAAAGAGCTACTTCTTCGACCGTAGACATTCCGCGGCCATCCTGCCGGCGGGTCGGTCGACGACCTTCACGCTTCCTCCAGCGCTGCCAAGCCGGGAAGCTCATTTCCTCAGGCCTTGGTACCCTTCCATCTCTGATGCAGTCAAGCAGAGTGACACCAAGTTCTTCGCCTGAAACTTCCTGGCTCATCCTTCAGTAGAGGCTGCCCACACAAGCCTTTTACTGCGGTGTGCTTACAAGGGTCAGGGAGTTCAGTTTTCCCAGAACAGCCCCCAACTGTGAGAGGCGTCAATCCTAACCAAGGACTAACCCAGAATCCACGTCTCACCCGTGTCCCGACTCTCTGGCACACCCGCGAAGCGGCTCGTTTTCACAGGCAGCGCACTCATTCACCGTGCGCATGTGGCTTGAGCCAAAATAGGCACGCCACTCCAACTCCCTCAAGGTGGACATGTCAACTTGCAAGACATGTCCACTCATGCAACCTCAAGCAAAAATAGCTCACTTACCAAAGCCTAATGCCTATGGCTGCAATGACAAAATCATGCATGAGAATGCCAAGATCTGCAGTACATACATACATACATACATACATACATACATACATACATACATACATACATACATGCATACATACATACATACATACATACATACATACATACATACATACATACATACATACATACATACATTACATACATACATACATACATACATACATACATACATACATACATACATACATACATACATACATACATACATACATACATACATTACGTACATACATAATACATTACATACATACATACATACATACATACATACATACATACATACATACATACATACATACATACATACATACATACATACATACATACATACATACATACATACATACATACATACATACATACATACATACATACATACATACATACATACATACATACATACATACATACATACATACATACATACATACATACATACATACATACATACATACATACATACATACATACATACATACATACATACATACATACATACATACATACATACATACATACATACATACATACATACATACATACATACATACATACATACATACATACATACATACATTACATACATACATACATACAGACATTCATACATACATTAATTACATACATACATACATACATACATACATACATACATACATACATACATACATTACATACATACATACATACATACATACATACATACATACATACATACATACATACATACATACATACATACATACATACATACATACATACAACATACATACATACATACATACATACATACATACATACATACATACATACATACATACATACATACATACATACATACATACATACATACATACATACATACATACATACATTACATACATACATACATACATACAACATTACATACATACATTACATTACATTACATTACATTACATTACATTACATTACATTACATTACATACATACATACATTACATACATACATACATTACATACATACATACATACATACATACATACATACATACATACATTACTTACATACATACATACATACATACATACATACATACATACATACATACATACATACATACATACATTACATACATACATACATACATACATACATACATACATACATTACATACATACATACATACATACATTACATACATACATACATACATACATTACAATACATACATTACATTACATTACATTACATTACATTACATTACATTACATTTACATTACATTGTACATTACATACATACATACGTACATCCATACATACATACATACATACATTACATACATACATACATACATACATACATACATACATACATACATACATACATTACATTAATTACATACATACATACATACATACATACATACATACATACATACATACATACATACATACATACATACATACATACATTACATACATAGATACATACATACATACATACATACATACATACATACATACATACATACATACATACATTACATACATACATACATACATACATACATACATACATACCTACTTACATACCTACATTACGTACGTACATTACATACATACATACATACATACATACATACATACATACATACATACATTTACATACATACATTTACATACATACATACATACATACATACATACATACATACATACATACATACATACATACATACATACATACATACATACATACATACATACATACATACATACATACATACATACATACATTACATACATACATACATACATACATAACATACATACATACATACATAACATACATACATAATAACATACATACATACATACATACATACATACATACATACATACATACATACATACATACATACATACATACATACATACATACATTACTACATTACATACATACATACATACATACATACATACATACATACATACATTCATTACATACATACATACATACATACATACATACATACATACATACATACATACATACATACATACATACATACATTACATTACATTACATTACATTACATTACATACATACATACATACATACATACATACATACATACATACATACATACATACAGCTCAGTAGGGCAGAGTACAGTACAATGCAGTGCAGTGCAGCGCAGTACAGCACAGTACAGCACAGTGCATAACAGTACATTACATTAAATAACATAACATACATACTCCTGTAGCAGGTGCCCGTGCCCATAAACCAGCTGGATTGTGAAGCCAGCAGAGCAGCCAGCAAGCCTTCAGCCCAAGATGCGTGAGGAAGGGACATGCCGCCTGCTCCTCCTCTTGCGCTTCTCCCTGGCCAGTCCCCTTGGAACCCAGCCGTAGCAACTGAAACAGGGTGGTGAGCAAGTAGGGACTCTTCTAGGTCCTCCGGTAGAGAGGTTAGAATAAGGGTACCCTGTTTTCTGTAGTCTTTTTTAGTAGGGGAACGCTCCCGCAAACAAGGGTAAAAGGGCACTACTGGGGGACCTAGTCTTTGGTGGGAGGTAAAGACCCACATGAGACTATCACGAGGGCATCTTGATATGTTATGAATCCACTCATCAAATGGAATAGTAACAAACCGGTTGGAAGCAACTGTCGACACGTCAATCAGCTGCCGCACCCTTTCCGCGTCAGACTTCATGGACTTGGTGGGCGCGAACAGCGACGCCACCGAGCCGCTCCTCGGTCGGCGCGACGAGGGCTACAGGAGCAGACCCAATATCAGCTGCTAGTGGACAAAGCATAGGGACAGGACACACCCACATGGAGCAGAAATCGTGCTAGCTTCTCATGTTTGCTTTGCCCCTCCCCGAAAGCGAACCAAAAAGGAGGTGTCCAATTAAGATACATGCCCTCGTTGGCCTGTTCTGGAGGCTCATAGCCCTGGCCATGCAACTGTGAGCAAAGTCGGCCTTTTGTCTGCACCACACCAGATGCTTTGGCATCTTCTCTCACGAAACTGCGCCCTACTCTTGCTGGATGATACGTACCTTAGTTCAGTCTGCCCATCTCGATTCACAGCTGCCCTGACTTGCAAGCGAGTGGCATACGCATCCTCCAATGATGCTTGCGACACGCCCCAGTGGCGGATGCCATGTTTTGCCTGCCATCAAATCATACTATGGCGTCATCCCAACCAACTGGCATGTACGCCTTGCCACGAGCGATGCTGATGATGAGATTTCCCAGCGCTTCGTCGTCTTTGGAGAACTTGTAGGTTGTCTGACCATGCCTCACACAAGTGAAGCGCAACTTCACGCTTCCAGTATGAGGGCACAAAGGTGCCAGCCACCTCCTGACGAGGGGAACTTTACGGATTTCATAAACAACCCACCTTTATGCTAACCGGGCAGCATTGTTACAGCTGGCTTTGACCTTGACACCGCGAAATGTACCTCCAGCCCTCCAGGCTCCTCACCCCGCGCCTCTGCGACTTCACGGGCATACGGTCCTCCGGCCCGAGGAGCGATGTCACGAACTCCTGGGCAATCCGGATGCAGCGGAGGAGCAGACAGGAAGAGATCCCGAAACTCCTGGGCCTCCGCCTCCTTGGACTCTTCGCTGTCAACACCTGCAAGGGCCGTGGCTAACCAAGCAGCAAGCAGGTGATTCTGCATGGAAATCAGTCGGAATGTCGGAAAATCGTTCAGCCAGGGTGCTGAGCATGTAGCCTTGTCCCCATTCATTCTTCAGGGCCTGCACCTTGGAGAGCGCTGAAGTCTCGAAGTCTCGACTCATGCGCGACCCGCTTGTATTTGAGTTGCGGCACGGATCCCTCAGCTGCCACGGCCCCTTTCCGCAGGATGACCTCGGCCAGGCTCAGAGGCTTGGGTTGGCGACCAGTGCCTTCCCAGCTACAACTTTGGGGTCAAAGCTTCTAGCCCACACCTGCCCAAACCACTTGCTTTACCTTCCAACGCCCTTTCAAACCAAGCAGCCAGCCAGCCAGCCAGCCAGCCAGCCAGCCAGCCAGCCAGCCAGCCAACCACAGCCACGCGACCAATCCACCAGCCAACCAGCCGCCAGCCAAGCAACCAAACTACCAGCCAACCAGCCAAGCGACCAGCCAATTAGCCAAGCAAACCCACTAGCCAAACCAACCAACCAGCCAATCAGCCAAACAAGCACCCACCGGCCAACCAACCAGCCAGCCAACCAGCCACCCAACCAGCCAAACAACCACCCACCAGCGAACCAGAAATCAGCCAAGCGACCAACCAACCAGCTCACAAGCCAGCCAACCAGCCAGCCAGTCAAGTCCACCAACCATCCAAAAGCAACACCACCAACGCGCAAGGGCCGGCTGGCCATGTCCGCCAGCTTGTCTCTGAGCCTCCCTCTGTCTCTCAGCTGGCCGGGGCTACGGCCAAATAACTTGCCAGGTGCTCTGCCTCCTCCAACCTTGTGTTCGGAACGTGGCAATCAGGGACCAAAGTGAGAAAATGCACCAGACAAGCATTGCCTGTTCAAAGGGGGAACCATGGCATTTTAGTACAAGTAGCATGTATGTGTGCATCAACGATATACAGAGGGTATGCTTGAGGCGAAACTCTGTTGGTGGGCAGACGGCTGCTCCAAACGTCTGCCTTCCTCGAAAACATCCGGAAACAAAGCCACTTGTCCACTAGCCTCGAACCTTGGTCAATTTCACTGGCTCGAAAGCCGCCACACTCCAGGCAGGAAAGGAAGCACAGGCGTGCCAAGGAACATGTGCGTTGTCAGAAGGCAGCAACCTCCAGCCTGCTTGACCTGGCCAAGAATGATATTTGCATGGCACCCGGCTCCAAAAGAAAGAGCGCAGTCACACAGATGCACGCCACTCACTTCACAGCTCCGATGTTGGATGTCAAGCTCGTCACAAAACCGCCTCTGCGCAAAGGCATGGAAAAAGTCTGATTGAGTGACACGTCTGGGTGCATCTTACAAAGCCCGATCGAGCCGCGAACCGCTTTTGTTCGCAAACAGCGCGGCTCAAAAGGCGCCGGGCTCAAGACAGGTCCCCGCAGTCAGCGATTGTGACCTTCTCGGCAAACCCCTCGTATTGCTCCTGGCAAGGTTTGCCTCACTTAAGCTCGGCACCTAAAAAACAGCAACTGAAGACCTCTGTGATTCGGGCACGAGCCTGTGCCCAGGCAATGGGTAAGTTGGGGTAAACAAGCCACAAAAGAAAGGTTCCCCAAAAGCAAACCAATCCCCGGTCCCAAAGATCAGGGTTTCCCACACACCAGAGAACAACAACCAAAAGGGAAAAACCAAAACAAGTAAACAAGTACCCGCAACCTTGATCGACGATGAACCGCACGGGCGGACCCCACCACTCTGCCCCGGGCCGATGTCTCTTTCTCCACCGACACGAAGGTGATCGACGCGGGGACCCGGCGACGCTCATCCGAGGCGCGACGGACCCGCAAACTTGAGCCAAACATCACAGGTCAGTCACTACCGCGACATCGCTGTTGATGAAATGAATCATGGCTAATCACACCCCCCTCACGAGGAACCCGTCATATGACGGGTGGAGCGTGCCATTTACTGATAGGATTTAACTGCTCGCATGCGTCCGCAAACAGCTGGACACTACCGCCGTCAGCGGTGGAGCAAACCCACAAAGGCAGTTGCGCGACATCCCGGGCATTAAATTCCCGCCACCACCCCGAATTAATCGGGGTAACGCTGTCCAACATACCTTGTGGAAAGGTCCACATGACGACACTAGGTCACAACTGTTTGCATCAACAATGCAAGAAGTTTAATTCTTATCAGAAGCCATGAAATAAAAGATAACGTATGTCCATTAGTACCCTCGCCTATCGGCAAGAGGTACTCCTGACCATGCGTACCTGAAAAATGTTTGAATTCCGCAAACCCGGGAGTAACCCCCATCAGTTTGCTTTCCCTCTCACTCACACTGCTTCCTGATGAACACGACCAGCAGCCCAGCAGCGGTATGGGAGAGACATGACCTCCGCGCCTCAGCGGTCCGGGAGGAACATCACCACCTCCGCACCGCGCCGACCATTGGAGAACGGACGCAAGCCTATCGGCCGCAATCCTCGTGACTCAGCCTACCGGCTATCGTCACGTCTCCTCCGGTCACGTCCGCCCCGCGCACGGTCCCTATCACGATCCCTTTCGGATCTCCTGCGATCATCTCGCCTTCGTTCTCGCTCCCGATCGAGTGAATCATCATCACGACGATCACGAGCATCGTCCCTCCTCCGGTCGCGATCATCCTCGCGCCGCGGACGGTATCTGCGCCTTCTCGATTCTCTGGAATCCCTGGTGTCCACGGTCCTAACGGACCTCCGAGAAGGAGTGCGGGAAACATCCGATTCCCTACGTCTTCTCCCAGAGCGAGAGTTCGTCACGATCTGGTTGAGAGCCTCCAGTGCTGACGCGTCCTCACCATTTCTAATGAAATCCTTGACTTGCTTGTTCAGCACTCTGTTGGTGGAGACCGCCAAGAGAGCGTCCACCACCGAACTCTCAGGCAGCACCAGGAAGTGACCCTCCACCGGGCTCGCCGCAGCTCGCTCAGCCGACTGCAACCTGATCTCACCGCCTTCAGGCTTCTTTGCCATCGCCTTGGAGGCCGTCAAAGGCGCTACCGCGTCCTTTGCCGAAGATCTGCCAAGCGCGGAGTGAAGATCATCCCCACTAGCTTCTCTCGCTGCCGCACCTGGTCTGCTGTCGACGTCATCAGGCCTCGTTGACGCCTCCCGCTTTGTCGACTCCTTCACAGTCTCGTCGGGATCCCAACGGGATTTCCTTTCTCTCCTTTGCCCTTCGGCCGACCCCCGGCTACCGCCAGGAGCGTCATCTCCGCCTATCTTCTCCTTCTTGACCTCAACCTTCGGTTCGGCCTGCTTCGTCTCCTTAGCCTCAGCCTTCGGAGCCGGAGCATTCTTCGCCTCAGATACTGAAGCGGCCTTCCCTTTTGGCTCGGCCTTTGGAACCGGGGTCATTTTAGCCTTTGCGCTCGGCCTGGCTCCTTCAACCACCATCGCGACCCAAGTCATCTTCGGTTGAGCCACAGTTGCATCAACCTCCATCGGAGCCGGCCCAGCATCAGCCTTCGCTTTTGCCTGTGAGACAGATGGACTATCGCCCTTACCAGACCCTTTTCCTGGCACTTCACCTGACTTTGGTGGTGGGCCGGAAGGATTACCGCCCTTACCGCCCTTTTCCCCCTTCTTCCCTTTTCCTTTTCCGCCCTTGACGATCGGCTCCTGCTTAGGACCAGGACCCTGCGCAGCATGATGCACCGATTGAAGCCCTTCGATGTTCACGTCCAATGGCTCCGGTTGACGACCATCAAGAACCGTCCTCACCCTTTCGTCGCTATAACGTAGACGAATGGGTCGCGGAAGGGGGCGGGAGGCTCCGACTGCCCGGCACTGATTGCCTTCTGCACCTTGGCTATCGCCTCCTTCAATCTCTTCTTCTCATCGTACCCTGTCTCCGATACCATGTACTTCCTAAGTTCCGATATCAACGCATGACTGGCCAGGATGTCCACGTCCTTCCGATGGGTCGGATACAATGGAGTCAGATGACCCGCCGCGGAGCCAATCACGTACGCCATCGGGATATAGAAGGACAAGTACGTGTCATGGCGAGCGAACTTCCTAACGGAAGTCGTCATACGCCTGCCCCACTGAGCAGCATGCCTCGGGTTAGCTCGGAAGTACTCAGTGACCGAATCAAATCTATCGACTTGGTTGGTCATAATCAGGTGCTTCGCCACCCACTTCTCCACGAACGCATCCGAGGCCGAAATCCCCGACACATAGGAGAATTGGAAGAGCACCTTCGCCAGCTCATCCCACGCCGTATCGACTCCTCCCTTGTCCTCACCAAGATAAGGGGGCAGTCTGATGCCGCTCTGCACCGTCATCCTCAGGTCAGACGCCATCGAATAGGAAATCAAGTTCCTCTTGATGACTCCGACCACTTCGGATGGGATCCTCTTGGGCTTGAACTGTCCCATGCTCCTCACCCACTCCGGGACGATGCGGCACCTCTCGAAGTCACTTTCGTCCGCGTTGGGGATGAAGTTCGGGTAGAAGACCGGGAGCGCACACCCAGGGCACAAATGCATCCCATTTGGCGTCATCTCCGCGCACCTCAAACAGAACGTGGTGGTCACATTCAACCTGACCTCTTCACGCGATCGCCTGTGCTCTCCCCTAACGGGGGTAAGGTCACCATAGTCCCATGCCCGATGATACACTATCGTGTAATCATCGTACATGTATGCTGCCTTCCAAGCGCCCATGTGGATCTCGTTCCGAACGGCAAGGGTCTTTCTCCTCGTCAGAAACACGGGTCCGACCAACGACCAGTGCACCCGAAGGTCCACGATTACCACTACGTATCTTCCCGAGTAGTTCCGCAGCCTGTCCCTGACGTACCACGATGGCGATACCTCGGCTTTCGGCGCCATGGTTTCCACAAGCGGGATCAGGCCTTCATCCTGCCTTCCATCCCCAATGGTCTCGTACACATCGGGCCTCGTGATCAATATCTCGATCATGGCCTTTCCGTTTCGCCTCACCTTCTGGAGCTGAACTGCCCTCCTAAAGTCTGAGAACTTCATGATGACATACCCCACCATAGGGAGCTCATTCCAGTGCATCTCGTACATCAGAGATCCGCCAGGTGCATCTTCTTGGGTGTACCTTTGCCTAACGGCACTGTAGCTCATGTCACGTCCGATCCGCGTGTACCGAACGGCCACTAACCTATAGTGCTCTCCTTGAGGAGGACACCATTCCCATCGTGCATGACCATGAGCATCGCCTCAACTTGTCCTATCGGGAAAGCTTTGATCGTCGGAATGAAGAACTTCCACGACATCTCGGCGTTCTCCATGCCCGTGATCTCCCTCAGGAACCAGATGGCCTGGTCACTATTCACCCAGCTTCCAGCCTCACGTCCAGTTTCCTTCAGCACACGTTCCTCGAATAACTCCGAGACTTTCTTCGAGTTGATAACCAGACCTTCAAAGTCGCACGAGAGCAAGAGTGCGTCATTGGAGGATCGAGCTTATGCCCTGTCGCAGCTGAATGAGATGGTGAACTTTCACACAAGAAGCACCTATGCTCTGGGTGAGGAGCGCCAATGGTAAGTGCAGCTGCCCCCAGTGGACCCTTTGCTCCTGATCAGGTGGATGAAAGCAGGAGGTTCCGACCGAGTGAGGCGGCAAGCAAGATGACCTACAATCTTGTGGTCCTGGACGGAAGGAAGGATTATCTTGCCGATAGGCGGGAAATCAGTCCAGATCTAAGGGGTACTGGGGTTATCCCTGATGAGGCCGCTACATGCCAGATTGTGATTCCCTCGAAGACAAGGTTGGGCGAGTACGTCCCGAACTACGAGGAAACCGCGGGCAGTCAGAGGAGCCTCAGGCTTGTCATAACTCGCCTTTCCGCCCCATCTCGCCGCGACCAGCTCAGCAGACTTTGCAGGATCAATCAGATTGCCCGACCATTCAGGCATGTCGCTCAACCTCCTAGTCAACGCGTCTATCGACGCAGCCAAGTCTTCATCCGTCACGGTGTGAGGGTCGACCTTCTCCCTGTCTTCCTGACCCACGTCAGGGAGCCTAAAGTCCCCGCGGATGGCCTCCATCGCGGCCTTCTCGGCTTCCTCAGCCTCCTTTTGCGTGGCCACTGCTCTAGGAATCAGGAGCGCTGCCTCGGCTGGCAACGATTTCTCCATGTCAATCGGAGTGTTCTTGGGAAGGATCCTTCGATCATCTCCCTCCCCGCTGTACACATAGTCTGGAGCAGTCTTTCGGTACTCCTCGAAGGTAGCCCCTTTGAAGTTGGTGATCTCGCTCGGGTCTGTCTTCCCAGCCTCAGTATCCCGAGGCGTGGGCTTCTCCGTCCCGGCGGAATCCTTCTTGGAGCCTTCCTGATCCACATCCATGTCGTCTTTCTTCTTCTCCGTCACGGAAAGTTTCCCAATGTCAGGAAGCGTCACATCATCGTCCTTTCCCGACCCGGCGCCCCTATCGGGGGCCGGCTCGGTCCTCGGTTGCCC